TTGAGCCCAGGAGTTTGAGGTTGCTGTGAGCTAAGATGACTCTAGCCACGGCACTCTAGCCTAGGCAACACAGTAAGACTTTGTCTCAAAAAAAAAAAAAAAAATCAGAAGCTCCAACATGATTAGTAATGCCTTTAAAATTCTGAAGGAAACTGATTTAAACCTAGAATTCTATGCCCAGTGAAGTTATCAACTACGTGTATGGGTAGAATAATAGTACTTTCACACTTAGAAAGTCTCAAAAATGTTCTTCCCATGCTTTCTTTTTCAGAAGCTAATGGAGGATGTGCTCCTCCAAAACCAGAGAGTAAATCTTGAAAGAGAAAGACATGGTACCCAGAAAACAAGTGATCCATTTCAGGAGAGAGACATGGGGGACCCATGGAATGATAGTGAAGGGAAGCCCCAGGATGACATGTGTACAGTGGCCTGGAAGTAGCTAGTCCAGGTATGGAGGGGTACGGGAGAGAGATCTCCAAGAAAAATACGAAATTGGTAGATGGTACAATGTATCCAAACATACTGAAAAGAGATTTTATACCTCTGGTAGGGACTTGAGAGATGTGTTACTGAAAGAAACAGTAAAAACAAACAAACAAACTAACTAAAATATGAGACAATTTTTAACTCCAAGAAAAGAAAATCATATTTTAGAGGAAAGGGATTGTAAATAATATTTGCATCACTACAATAATGTAAGCACAATATTAATTGAACTAGCAATCCTGTTACAGTATGCTGGAATGATAGAAAAGGAGAAAAGTGGGTGTCTGTTTACCTGTGAGGACTGTGTGCGTCTGTGCGTGTGTGTGTGTGTGTGTGTGTGTGTGTGTGTGTGTGTGTTTCTGTGTGGTTGAGGGAAGAGTTGAAAGAGAGCTACAGGGGGAGCGGAGATTAAAACTTACCCGTTGGGTAGGTTGATCACTGTCCTGGGGTCGGGCACACTGAAAGCCCTGACTTTAGCATTATAGAATGTATCCATGTAACAAAAACTTTTGTACTCCCTTTATATTTTAAAATTTTAAAAAGGGAAGCATTACTAATGGACGCTGAATGAGAGCAGGAAAAAAGAGAGCTACATTGTTGTATTATATACTTGAAAGTCAATAAATAATTACTGAATCTGAAAAAAATCAAGAAATAGTTGTATATTATTATTTAAGGTATATTATTATTTATAATGTTATTATGTACATTATTATTTAAGACTATGAAGGTAAATACCAGGAGAAACAGATAAATGAATTGGAAGTGGAGGCCTCTAGGAGTGGTAATCACAGGTGAGTGATAGGGCAGATGACCAGTGTTTTTCATTATAGCCTCATTTTATTTAAAAAATAATAAATCCCTGGGACATAATAAATGCCCAATATCTAATGGCTACCACTTTCAAAAAATCAGTAATTTCCTTATATATCAGAAATTTCTGGTTATATTCCTACAAGAAAAAAAAAGAATCCATTTACATTAATTTCAAACAACTATAAAATAGCTATTAATTACCCTAACAAAAATTGTGTGGGATCTGTGAAGAAAAATACAAAACTCAACTGAGAAATATACAAACCTAAACAAATAGAGAGACATGTCATATCCATAGATGGGAAGAGAAGATGCCAATTCATCCCAAAACAACTAATAGTTTGAATGTAATCCCAATCAAAATACCAGTTGTTGTTTTCTTTTTGTTTTTTAGCAATTTGAAAACAATTATTCTGAAATTCCCTGACTTCAGCATTATACAATTCATCCATGTAACAAAACACATGTACCCCCTAAACCTATTGAAATTTTAAAAAATTATTCTGAAGTGAACCTGAAAAAATAAACAGGCAAGATCAATTAAGAACATTCTGAAAAAGAATATAAGTGTAAAACGTATCCACATTAAATCATATAAAGTTCCAATAATAAAAAGCAACTTGCAAGAGTAAGCAGATCAACAGAACAGAATGAGTCTCCCCAAAACAGAGCCTAATTATATGATGGAGAAACTATCCTACAGCCCGTATGGCATAGAGGTAAAGAATATGGATTTGGGGAGACAAACCACCTGAGTTCAAACCCTGTCTCTGCCACTTACTATCTGTGTAACCTTGTGCAAGTCATATAACCATTTGTGCCTCAGTTTTCTCATCTCTAAAATGGAAATAATAAATGTATTCACCTGGATGACCGGCAAAACATTCAGAACAGAGCCTGGCACATAGCAAATGCTAAGTATTTGCTGTTACGATGTTTGCTACCGCAAGTCAACATGGCCAGCTTCATAAGTGTATGACCTGTGCAGTCACACAGGGCCCTGCTCTTAGAAGGACCCACATACTGGTTAAGGCTCTGCTGTCACCATCTTAAAATTCTTTAGAAGTTTTGAACAAGGGTCCCTACATTTTTATTTTGTACTGGACCCTGCAAATTATGTAGCAAGTCCTGCAAGTCAATCAGGAAAAGGATGAATTATTCAACAAATGGTGTTAGGAAAATTGATATTCCAAGTTAGGTTCTCATTTCACACCATGTGGCACAGTAAAAACATAACCATACAGTTTAAATAAAAACTACGTGTTCTGAATTTGAATAAGAAGTACTGAATTGAACACATGATAAATTTCATCTTTAAAAAGTAATGATAGGCTGGGCATAGTGGCTCATGCCTGTAATCCCAGCCCTTTGAATTACAAAGCAGAGGTGGGAGGATTGCTTGAGGCCAGGAGTTCAAGAGCAGCCTGGGCAACATAGCAAGACCCCCGTCTTTGCAAAAAAAATTGTTTTAATTATTATAGCTAGTGGTGGTGGCACGTAACTATTGTCTCAGCTACTCCAGAGGATGAGGCAAGAGGATGAGTTGAGCCCGGGAGTTTGAGGTTACAGTGAGCTAGGGTCACGCCACTGCACTCCAGCCTAGGCAACAGAGCAAGACCCTGTGTCTACCAAAGAAAAAGTAATAATATATATTTCCTAATACTGTTCCCTGAATAGGCCTAGAAACAAGAACTCAATAGCAAAGAGCACTCCTAGCAACTGGGGGTAGTTGTGTAATATCATTTCCCATTAAAGGGAACTATGGTTCTTTGGAGACATGGCTCATTCCAGGTCCTGCACAGAAAATGTACAAGATGAGACTTGTCAGAAGCCTTGAGCAGGATATTTACGTCAACATCATGTCATATCAGAAAATGTGGAAATTAGCGAAGCCTATGTGGACGTGTTAACTATAAGAGCTTCCCCCTGGCCGAAGATGGCACAGTTTGACCATCAATAAGAACAATAACCACGAAAGGTAGAAACTTATTGTGTATGTTTAACTGCATGAGTTCATAATGGTATTCAAAAAAGAAAAAACATAATAGTCATCCAAAAGAACCAACTCATTATTTTGAAAACTGGCAAATACAGACCAAAAATCAAGCATTTATCCTGCCATTACTATATGAAATTAACCTCTGGTTAATCAAATAGATGATGAAAGGAAGTTTCCCTGTGTAGAAGAATTCCAGCTAATAAAAGAAGAAAAGTGAGAATATCACAGTTTTACATATTTATGACATAATGAATCTAAGTAGCATCTAGCATAGTGGTTGGCAAATGTTGAGAGTCTGCATAATGTGGACTTGGGAGCCAGATAGTCTGAATTTGAATCTTGGCTCTTCTTTTCACTAACTAAATGACTCTGGACAAGTTACTTACCCTCTTCTTGCCTAATTGACTTCATCTGTAAATTGGGGGTGAAGATAATACCCACCTCAGAGTGAGTTGCAATGAATATTGAGTGAAAGAACATCAGTTAAGGTCTCAGAATAATGCCTGGCACAGAGTAAAAACTTGATAAATATTTAACATTATTAAATGCTCAATAAATAATTACTGATGGAACAAGTGTCTGGCACATGAGAAAAACTTAGTAAATATTTTTTGAAAGAAGAGAAAATAAGATTTTTCTTCTTTAGTAAATTTTCCTATTAAGATAGTACCAGATGTATTAATTTGGACATGTCGTTAATTATTCTAAAAATTATGGCTCAATAATATGCTTAAGAAAAGTACAAAAAAAAAGTTTCAGAGTTTTTTCACTTCTTCAGCAGGCAGTGCCTTCAATCGTAAAGTGAGGAATTGAATTAGACAGGGTCCAAGGTCTCTTCCAACTCCAACAACATGTTATTTGTCCTTAGGAAACAAACTAGATATAACAACAGAGAAGACCATTTTACATGGAGGCATGAAACCTTTGAATGTGTAAGTTTCCATTAAAAAGAAAAGGAACAAAGAGAATATTCCATTGATTACCAAAATTCGTCTTTATTATGTGACAACATCGGTTTGAACTGTGGCAGTGTATTTTTATTAATTTGATGAAATTTGGCTCTCTCATAAACTATACACAAAGGTCATAGAAAATTTAATCTGTGAGAAATGGCTAGTTTTATCTTGGCATTTAAACAGGCCTAATGTGAGCTTCTAGAAGGTGATTGATAATAGAATCAGTAATGTCTCCTACAAGAGATTCAACACCTTCAAATAATACTCCTAGCAATTAGAAGAAAAGACTCAGCTGTTTAAAATATTTTTAGTTACAAAGTAATGCATATACATTTAAATACAATAACTTAATGTTTTAAAATCGATTTATTATTATGATTAAGCAATTATTAAATTATTTAATAATAAAAAGTGAATATGTTCCAAACACCCTTCCTGCCATGTTTATTTTCCAAAGGTAGCAAATGTTAACAATTTGTTCCACATATTTCTATGCACATGCATCAACAAAAAATATGTATATATGCACCTGTTATTAATGGTATTTGTAAAGTGTTACTTTTTCTTGCCATTTTAGTGTTACCACAGGCAGTCACCCAGTTCGAAGAGCTGGTTGGTATGGCGGAAGCCCTGCTTAAGGGTGGAGGAACCATGTCTACATCCGCGTCTACCCTCTGGAGAGCGACAAACAACTCCTCCCCAGATTCATTTGCTTCAACATGTAGTAACTCTAATTCTAATTCTAGTTCACCCATTTCCTTGAAAGCTGAGGAAGAGCATCATACTGATGAGAAACAGGTCAGTTGGAATCCCTGCCCTGTTGTTGTTTGGAATATAGTTAAATACTAAAAGCAAAACAAGAATAGAAAAAAATTCTCCAGGTAAGTTTAGGTCACAACCATAATATTCCTATTGCACAAGACTATTTTCTTTTTACAACGAAAACTAATATTTGTGAAACAAATACCCAACTTAAAGGCAAATTTTTGACAAAGATGAAGCTATTAAATTATATAATTCCTAAACCAGTGACAGAAGAATACCTGTGCTTTTAAGGGCTATAAAATTTAGTATCATTGGGAGGTAATTTTCAGCCTTAGCATGCTGGCTGAACACAATTCTTTTTCTATTTTCCCAATTTCTCTTCATAAAGAACAGAAGCTAAAAAGACAAGAGTTGTATAAGAATCGGGTATCAGCCTCAGAAAACACACCATCAAAAGTGAGAATTAAATATTAACTAACAATCTAACATTCAGAGTATTGCAATCTTAGTGTATCAGTTCCCTTTTGCTATGTAACCGATTGCCACAAATTTAGTGACTTCAAGCAACACAAATTTATTATCTCAGAGTCCAACAGGGTTAGAAGTCCTGTCAGGTCTCTCTGGACTAAGACTAAGTTGTTGGCAGGGGCGTCCTTCTGGAGGCTCCAGGGGAGAGTCTGTTTCCTGCTCATTCAGGCTGTTGTAGATTTCAATTTCTTGTGGTTGTAGGATTGACTCCCCCGTTTTCTTGCTGTCTGTAAACTGAAGGTCGTTCCCACTTCTAGAGGCGATCATACTCCTTGGTTCATGGTCCATTTCCGCCATCTGCAAAGCCAGCAACAGCGGGTCAACTCTTCGAATTTTCCTTCTGTCTCTTTTTTCTGATTCACACTTCCCCCTCCCTCTTCTCCTTTTAAGGATGTCTGTGATTAGATTTGCCCCTCCTGGATAATCCAGGATAATCTCCCGACTCAAGGTACTTAACTTCAATCACAACTACAAAATTGTTTTGCCCTGCGAGGTAACGTATTACATGTTCAGGGCATTAGGATGCGGTCTTCTTCAGAAAGCCATTATTCTGCCTACCCCACTTAGTATGAAGTGGTGTGTGTGGGACTAATTCTTAAAGCATCAAATCCATGACAAGAATTTGTATAGACCCTAGAACAAATACCTCATAAATATTGCAAGTTATCGCAAAGATAACGTTTAACTCCAACCCCTGAAATGTAAAATATATGTTAAAAGTATAATACATCACCTTAAAGAATGTTGATATTGTTTTCTGGTATGTCTGAACTCAATTAGTAATACATTTCTCCAGATAATCACTTTCTTTTTCCAATTTCAATTATTGTTTTCTTTTTTAGTTCAAGATTGAAAAATGGCAGATTGCCCGTTGTAATAAGAGCAAGCCTCAGAAGTTTATTAATGATTTAATGCAAGTACTTTACACAAATGAATATATGGCCACACACAGCCTGACGGGGGCAAAATCTTCTACTTCACGGGACAAAGCCGTTAAACCAGCTATGAACCAGAATGAAGTTCAAGAAATCATAGGTGATAATACAATTGCGTTATATTGTCCTATGAATTTAAAATTATGTTACAATTCAAGGTCAAGTTATTTTTTCGTGGTCCTTTTTTTAAAATTTAT